TATCGATCGTACAGGTGATTTAAGGTAAGACTAGACGTTCCTCAAAATCTGTTTTGTATATCTTCGTAATATATGAAAAATATTCAAAATTTTAATAATATTCTGATTTCTAAACCAGTTTCTAAACGTTTTTAAAAAATCCAAACACTCAAACATTTGAAATTGGAAAATTATTTTTCTACCCCAAAGGATTATATAAGAAAAACTACCCCTGGTATCTTGCAGAAATGCCTGGTAAGGTACCTCAATTTTTGTAAGTAAACATGTTTAAGTAGCAACACTTCAATGACAAACTCTTAGAAAAATTTATCGTTCATTAAGGAACGTCTCGTCTGTCCTTAAATGACCAGTGACTTACTGAATCGACTTCCTTCAATACTCTATAGTGAAGGATATCTTCTTATATCATTCAATGTGAGGGACGGCTGGTGAGGGACGCCTTCTATTTTCCTATAAGACGGACGGGTGGGGCAGAACCCCCTTTTCTCATTCATCAGATAATGTTCCTTAATTGATTACCACGGCCAGAAGCGCTATTTTAAACAAGCAAACTAACATTCATATTGTTTGTTTGATTTATAAGGAATCTGAAATAAATCGAGAGAACGAACAGTAATCAACATCCAAAGTCCATAAGGCAATACTATGTAAGAACAGAGCGAACATGGACCTTCAAACCATCAGAGGTGGGATCATGTGCCGTGAAGGAGTGAGCATCCCCTGCCGACCGGTCACACCCGCCGTGTGCTCCTTGTCATGATCGGGAAATACGGAAAAATCTGCCGTCAATTCAGTGTATAAATAATAACTTACAATAAGTATGAAAACGTCGGTTAGCATTTCACTCAAAAAATTGTTTTTACTGACTAGGTCAGTGTATCGACCATATAGAACTTACGAAATGATGCCTTTAAACATGACTGCTGATACTCCTGTTTCATCAGCTTGTTTATCGATAATTTAACTCTTTTTATTAATTTGATGATACCAAAAGCATGCTCTTGTGTATCGAATCAACTGAATTATACAAACTCCGTATGCAGGTGATGATGGTATATTGAGTAATCGCGTTTATACACACAGCTTGGTTGTTAGAATACCATTAACGTCTTTTTCAAATAAAATATCCAAATAATGAATATGATGAAATATGAAACAGATGTCTCAGACTCTGTGGTATCTTCTATATCAACTCCACCATGTTTATCGTATAGATATCATAATAAAAATTACAGTAAATATAAAAATGAAACAGATTTTATGAGTTTGCAGTTTTACTCTGACAAGAGATAACGAACGCGAGCGCTACAGATAAAAGTAATTAAAGAGGCTGATCAATAGGAATTAAACTTTTAAACGGACGGTCCCACAAAATAAATCATGGGAATGAAGCTGCTACTTTTTTTGTTTATAAAAATTAAGATGTATTTGGTCAGAGTGAAGAAGGAACCAATAGTATTGAAGTGACCAGAGGTAAGATATTTGAATAAATTAGCTACAACAAATAATATTTAAAGATTTTGCAAAAGATTGGAAATTATTTTAAAAGTGCATTAGAATTTTAAAAAGTACTCAAGGTCAGAATAACAATAATTAAAATTCAAATTGAAATTTAAAGTAATTATTGCAAATTTCGAAGGAGTTACAAAAATGGAGATGTAAATCTACAAAGCTAAACCTAGTATAAAATGAGCGGCCGCGATAGACAGGATTCCAGTGGAAAGCTGAATCTTGACTGTCTTGGTTCCATTTCATACAGGTGAGATTATTTTCTAGACTTGCGCGGTTTTTGTCAAATTTTTAAATTTTTCACATGGCTTAATTTTATTTACAGGTTGTATCGTATTATATTTTTAAAGCTCTTCAAAGAGAATAATTTAAAGCTCTTCAAAGAGAATAAAGAAAACTGTAGCTATGATACAGCTCCTTAAAAATAGACATTGGAGGAGACGTGCAAAAAGTTCTTCAAAACTCACCGACTTTCGTCCTGAGGGCCTTGGACTTAAGATAATCATATCATAACTATGTCAATAATGCAATGTTATATCTCGTCTAAAATCATGTGCAAATATTTGTGGACATATTTATGACCGCGTACTAACGATTTTTATTTGAAAAAAATCTACACTGTTGAACCTAATCGCTGAGTTTTGAAGGAATTTATCAAAGTAAGGTCTACCCCTTTTAAGAAAGATTACATATCTTTTCAAGTAGAAATACAGAATGTGCACATGAATCTCCCTAAGAGGTATTTCATTTACAAAGAGATTATATTATCTAATGAAAATTCATAACTAGAAACTAAAGTCTTACAAAATTAATATTTTTTTATTTTTATTTGCTATCTTGAGAATTACAAATATCTATCGACCGTTATATGCAGACAAATACTAGAAGAACATCCAACAAATGAAAACGCTTTGTTTTTTAATATTGTTCCTTGTGTTTCAATGTCTTATTTAGAAAATGCAAGACATATTGGAGTCTTTATTTTATCACGCTTAGTAAAGATCTAAGCTCCAAACAGCTCAGTATTACGTTACGCTACAACTCCATTATTCGTAGGGAAAGTAGTCCCGGAGAATTGACGCTGTATGGAGTTTGAGTAAAGATCTTGCCATATGTTCGAAAAAATGTTCTTTTATTTTTCAAAGACTTGTAAGTTTTAAGATATGAATGTATTATCTATCAATCACTTTTATATACAGACTTAAACAAAAATTGAACAGGCTGTTTTAAAATTGCGTCCTTTAATTAATCGTTGAGAGAAAACAAGGAAAGTTATTTTATTAAGCGCAAAGATCAAGATGAAAATTGTTAACACTTGTATAAAATCAAGTATAGGTGTATAATTTTCCTTTTGATAAGTTGTTAACAAAACTGTAGTCGCTGAAATTACACTTCAACCATTAAGATCTAGATCAATTATTGTCCAAACATTTTCCAAAAATAAGTGACCTCTCAGTAGAAGACTTAACATGGAATTCTCTGACAAGTGTATCGTTATAGGTTAATAATTCTTGAGAGTGGGTAAGTTTGATACAAAGGCAGGGATCGACACTAACTTTAAAACCATAGTTGTCAGCAGGGCTAACCATTTCTAATTCCTACTAGCCCTGTTCATGTATTACTTGTCTATAACAGCCGAAGGCTGGTGGCCGAGTCGCGAAGCGACGAGGGGGTAGGCGCAGGAGAGGGTTTCTCCTCCTGCTGGTAGGGGTACAGGGGGCCTCCTCCGGGAAATTTTGAAAATAGAGATGCAAAATCCTGCATTCTGGCTGTATTTTGGGTAAAAATTATATGTCACTCTATGATAAGACAATTTTTTCTATTCGAAAAATTCCATAATTATAATCATTTAAGGTATTTCGAATTACCTTATTAGTTTACATTTTGACTTACAAAAATAATAATTATGATGATAAAACATGTATGAAAATAAATTTAACAATTATCAGGTATATTGTTTGTAAATTATAATTAGGTTCTTGCTCTTAGTGAGTAATTGGTGAAATTTACTGTAGCCCTGCAGGGCAAGTTTAAAGACATGTTTGGAAGCCCGATCTCAGTATTCAGTTTTCCCGGGCCAGCGGAGTAGCGTTAGTGTCGAACCCTGAAAGGTTGAACTTAAAGGGCGATTTAAAGATGAAAAAATAAAAATATATCAAAGCTTCGTTTTCGCGAAGAACCAGGCAATGATTTGCCAAATTATGGAACAGTTTCAGCGTCTGTTAAAATTGAAATACATTTTTGTTTAAATAAATAATGATTACTCCGACCCTTCTCAACCCCAGCTGTCAATGTGAGTAATAGTTTTGCATTAAAGGATTAAGATTTTACAGGACAAAATATATCTGAAATCTTATACTGGAGAAAGACAAAATCATACAGAAAGCTAGAACAAGCTGAAAATGATTAAATTGATTTTTTTCTGATGGCTGCTCTGTTTATTTGATTTCTTTTAAAAAGTATGTCTTTTCGTAGAACAATCTTGTAACAAATAAAAAGTTTTAAAAAGAAGTTGACACAAATATTAAGATAGGATTACTTTATAAATTATTTGTATATTGATGTAATGAAAAAAAAATGCATTTGTCATATTTCCTTTACCGACAAGGTTGCTTAATCTGAAGGTCGCTCGCTCCATGGGAGGTTGTGTATTCGAATCACGGTCGTGAATGACCTAAAACACTAAAAGTAGTATCTGTTCGTTTGTAAAGCCCTACCTAGGCACTGAATTTGGAGTGAAATGTGCGGGTCCTTAAGATAAGGCCTTCAAAACCGAGGCTCCGAGTCAAAGTAGATGTTAACAATATAAAGATCCATCACTTCTCAATATTCTTGAGTAAATTTATAAATTTCAAGCTCTTTACTTGTTTATGAGGACCTTCTGAATGATTGCAATATTTTTGAAAGGCACCCTTAGCAATATGCGATAAATCATTTCTTCATTTTTAATATCGCTCAAATTTTTATTGATGGATATTTTCTGAAAGATATTATAATGAAAATGAAATATATAAAACTATTGAAAATTTATGGAAATTTCAAGATTCTATGGATTATATAATGTTATATTCAATATTACAATTTATGATATTTATATTACTAGTGTTTTCTGCATTTGAATTGAATGGAAATCTATTGCATTCAAAACACCGAATGGCGCCAAAAGGTTAGAGCATGCGTTTTGGTTTGACTTCAAAATCGTTATTAAACGCCGAGGAAGTGCAACGAAAAATTAAAATTCATGCTCACTTTGACAAGAAGCTGTATAAGATATAGTGTCACTGCAACGGTGTGTGCAAAAAAAAAAATCATAACGCGCTAAAGCCTGTTACTTTATTTGTTTGCTCACGCACATATGAGACTATAAAATAAATAAAAACATATCATCTTTTGGAAATGCATCTTGCATCTACATATCTATAGAATATTTCATCGTAAAGTAATGTTTTGTTTTTATCTTTTTAGAACATCATGTTTTATTTACTATATATTTAAAATAGTCTTTGGACCTGTCAATGATTGTCTTTAAATTATAAAGAGTCAAAATATCCTTTCCCAAGACAGGTTTAGTTTCTTTTGAATAATTCGATTGTAAAAGTATATTTCCTTCATCTAGAGATGTAAAATCTGCAATATGCCCCATTTTGGTCTTTACGAGCTGGCTGTAGAAAACCCTCTCCAAGTCACCTTGAAAGTTCTCATGAAGTTGGTCTATCTTATTCATTAACACAAGCTGAGGTACATCTACAAAGTCGTATCATAAATGCTTATAATCAAATTAAAAACAAATTTCGACTTTCTTTCATTATCCATATATGTATACGATAATTATTTAACAAAATTATTGTCAATGACACTCAAAAAATTGTCAAACTAAAAAAAGTAATCCACAAATGAACGCGATAATATTGGGAAATTATAACGGAAAATTAATGATCTCATAAAATAAAAGAAATAAAAAAACTGCTTAATTAGTTTTGAATATTTCTTCTTTGTCAATTAGCTTTTTAATTTTTTTTTACATGTGCTTGCAAGTCTTTCTCTTAAGTCTCTGAATGTCTCCTCTGCATTTTCAGATGCAAGTACTTTCTTTGATCCTGTAGCATCTACCACATACACAACACAATGCATTTTGTCAGCTAGTTTTGGATCTTTGCGATAGCAAGCATCAGAAATCGAAATTGGTTTCTCCGGATCAAACTACAATTCATTTATACCTGAATAGAACTGGTGAATTGTTTTTGATCATATCAGTTTTTTTTTTCTTAAAAGTGCATATATTTTTCGTTCACAAAATTCAATACTACACTACAGAGAAACTAAACATTATTTTAAAAAAAAAAATATAAACCGCAGTAATATATTACTATAATTTCACCTTATATCCTGGCTCAATGTGTCCATCAACTGTGTAAAATATATCCTCTTTTTGAATGGAGTCGATTTCATGAAGACCACGACAGTCATGAATTAGCAAAGGAAGTTGTTTATCACCTTGAAGAAGAATACACGACTCCAGCTGCAAAAAAATGGAATATTATTGATTTCAATTTTGAAATTAATATCTTCTGTATAATATCATGACTTATATATTGTAATAGCATTTCGCACGAAAATATAATCAATATCCTTTTCATCTTCAGTAAAACTCTTTTAGTACGAACACGAATACTGCGAATTCACGAATATAGCGAAGTCATCTTGGATCCCCAGATATATAAATTTTATTACTTATACAAATATAACAAATTACGGATATAGTGAAGTAAATTCACAGGTCCCGGCGACTTCGGTATTACTGTTCTACTGTAAAGGTTATTAAAACTTTTGGATGGGTTTAATTGATACATCCTTGCACTTTCACAAATTTATTTTAATTCTTAATACTTATGAAAAGCTACAATTTTGTTGTGTATTAATGAAAAATATTAAGACAAAAATCCAGAAAATTAAGAGTAAAATGTTCGAAAGCAAAACATACACACACTATATTGTCAGTCCGTGCAGTTGTGGTGAGCATGCAGACTTTAACAATTGAAAACACCCAGTGAATTATAAACATCAACAATAACAGAGCTCGTGCCCTGTTTACAAAATATGTGTACGTTGACACTAAGCACGGAAAACCGATACCTGTAAAGGGGTTTTGCTTTCGAACATTCCTACACTGAATATAATTATTTTTCATTAATACACAACAAAATTGCTACTTTTCCTAGGTATTAAGAATAAAATTAAAATTTGTGAAATTGCGAAGGATGTATCAATGAGACCCATCCAAAAATTTTAAGTTTTAATAACTTTTAGAGGAAATAAGATTTTTCGTATATTTTCGTGCGAAATGCTATTACAATCTATAAGTCGTGATATTATACAGAAAATATTAACTTCGAAATCTGTGTCTATGCACCTTTAACTGGCCAGAAAAAATGCCGAAAATTAAAGTTGTTATTAAGGTACTCTGATCCTCATGTTCTGAAAATCAAGCAATGACTAATTGAAAATGCTCATAAAAATGTTTCTCTCTGAATTTTCAAAGTAATATGTTTTACCCACAATAAATCTTCAAACTTCATACTTTAAATTAATCATATTATACAGAGAAAATTAGTATTTATCTCAAATATATTTTCAGGAATTGCGAATAAAAACATTTGCTATGCATTTTCTGATTCAAATTTGATCTATGAACATGTATTAAAAATAAAAATCATAGGTATCCAGGCTTTTGAAGAAATTCCACAATTTTATACATATTACGTAGTCTACTTAATTTTCTTTTATATACTTCGACCATTTTACGTACAATGCAAAGTGTTTAAAGATTCTCCAGTAATTTTGAAGCACCATAAATAACTTCTAATTTCATACTCAATATCATGTTAATAAACATTGGTATCTTTGGTTAGATTAAAATGAACATTATTTTCTTGATATATGTCATTTAAAATGCTTTTACGGGGTAAAAAATTCGACTTTTTATTAGACCTTTCTGAGAACTACAAAGAACCTTGGGGCACATTGAGAGGCATATAATGAAAATGTTGCATGAAAAGATTTAATATTCAAGCTTCATTTTGATATTTTTTGAATTAAATTATAAATTAGAGTTGTCCTTCTAGGCCGAGGATCGAAGTCCCTTAAAATAATATAAATCCCCGATACCTTAATCGTTTATTCATGGTGCAGATAAGAATTTAAAACGTTCTTTTCGAAGAAAACTAAATGTCAAAGGTATGGTACCTGAAGATTTCTTGAAAATCAATAGTTTATCAGGGTTTTTCATCGTCTGAATACATAGTCAACGCATGTTTGTCGGTAGTTTTTCAGAAAACTGTAGTTGTACATTGAACAGAATACTGTCATATTAAAAACAGAAGAGTCGGTATAAAGACGAATAATGACCCCCATCGAATAATGACCGGGGGTCATTTTTGGACAGCGAAAAATGACCCCTGGTCATTATTCGACGTCGAAAAATGACCCTTTTGCCACCATGTGTCACCACCCTAAAAATTTGTAGAACCCACGTGAAGAAAAATGACTCCCTGTGGATTAAAGCTGAATTTTTTAGGTGGCAAAAAAGAATTAGATAAAGAAGCATATTGGCCAAAATTCTCACCTGAGCTACTTAGGAATAAATTGATGATATGTTGATCTCATAACATTATACAATTATAGCTATATTTTAAGGTCAATGCGACGATTCAGAGTCTAAAGGAATACAAGATTTATCGAGCCTAAAGTGTTAGGTAAACATTGTTTTCGATGGTGGAAATCATCGTATTGACAGAAAAAATCAGCAGTATTATATATTATTATAATCTCCGCTTGAAAAGCGGGACGGTATATAGTGATCGGGATGTCCGTCTGTTGCGCTTTGGAGTATCAATCTCTTATCTGCAACTCCTTATATATATAAAAAGATGTGTTTGTGAAACAGCTATGCCCCTGTATGGCAACATAGCGACGATTAAACTGTTCTTTAATGCAATTTAAAAATATTGGTACCTAAAGTAGAGTCTTCTCACAAGAAATACGGTTGCAAAATAGGAAAGCCCTAGCACCACTTGTTCAAAGGTAATGGCTAAGGATAAGCTTTTGAAAGGTAGTTCAAACTCAAAGGTCAAAGGGTCAAAGTTGATGGTTTCTTAAGAAAGGTTTAATGTAACAAGGATTACATAATTATGTGAAGTATGAAAACCCTAGCCCTTACCGTTCAAAAGTTATGGCCAAGGTTAAAAAAGTTTTTTTCATAAGTACGGAAATCTCCAAGGTCAAGGTCAAAAGGTAAAAGTTTTTATTATCCAATGAAAGGTCATGCCAAAAAAATACATATGTAAAGTATAAGAGTACTAGTATCTACCGTTTAAAAGTTATGGCCAAAGTAAAAATTTGCCATTTTTGTGTACAATGGGACAAACTCCAAGGTAGAGGTCAAAAGGTCAAATTCGATGGTACCCAAAGTAGGCCTTGTCACAAGGAATACACATGTGAAATATGAAAGTCATAGCTCCAATAAATGAAAAGTTATGGTCAAGGTTAAAGTATTTGCGGACAAACAGACCGCCAGATAGATAGACAGACAGACATACAGACGGACACGATAAAATTATATACACCCCCCCCCCCCCGAATCTTCGATTACGCGTACGGGAACATAAAAAAAATGATCATCTATTAATTTTTCATATTATGATACAGTATAAAGAAGACGATACAAAAATGAAAATGTTCTGATTTTCATATTAAATTCTCTGAAAAATATACTCAAAACTGAGTAAAATAGTGGAGTAAAACAAGAATGAAGAAATGTAATGATTACTGTGTGCTATATCAAAAGGATATATCTAAATGTATAGTTTTTGCATTGGAATGTGTATTTTACACTAGCCCATAGCTTTACAGAATATATTTTTAGGTGTTATATCCACCCACCCCCTTACTTATTTAGGAGGAAGTCGATTATCAACAAAAGCAACAAGAAAACTACCCTTCCTTTATTTTTCTATAAGGAGGGACTAAAAATAAGCTTAGAATAATCTATTATTCTACTAATTTTCAACTGTTACTTTGCCACAATACTTTCAAGTATACCCCCACCAACATTTAAAGTATATGCTTTAATCATGGCGAAATGAATTATGATATGATAGAACTTGTGTGAAAGCTTAAATTCATTTCAATATTTTATCTAGACCCTCTTTCAGTATTATTGAAAGGTGTAGAGTTTTATTTATATTTTTTTCTTTTTTCTTTTTTATTAATTTAACTTAATGTTTTTTTAGGGGGGGGGATAAAAATTTCCCCCTCTTTCATTGTCAAATGGGATTTGCCAAACTTATACAAGCTAAAAATTGAAATGAAGGAAAAATTATTTTTTCCTATTAAAGAGTATTTAAACCTGAATCTCTGAAATCTTCAATTGTTCATTGCAAGTCTGGTTGTTCTACCGAGGGGGGGGGGGTATAAAAAGAATACGTATTCGCAAAGATTTAATATCTGTAATCATATTGTGATAGTCTGCATGAATAGGATGGAACATATGAAAAATATACAGCATCGAGGATTCCTGTCATCCATTTTTAATTTTATTTACTCATCCGAATGAAACCTTATTAATTCGAACAAGTTACTTATTTATACGCACCGATATTAATTCGTCTGCTACAAATTTCTACTTTTTCCCAACATTTTTTTTTCAGAAACAACGTATCAATGGAGTCAGTAAAGAAAAAATATATATATTCATAAATTTCATCTCCATCGTGCGTTTGATCCATTTACATGTACCATTTTTGATTTTCTAGGTTTGCTCCTTTATCAGAGAAATAATTTTTTGATTGATTGTTAATTGCTTAAAACTGAATTGTTAATATTTCGACAGAGAGAAATGAGGAACTTTATTACCCCTACGTGCTAAGAAGAACAAAGATCAAATCAATTCGAACAAATGCATGAATTACTTGAAGGAAGAACAATTATTCAGTATCTTTATTTCTTTAAGCCAACTGGCCCATCAGAGTTATACAACAAACATGGTAATAACAAAAAGAAAAAAAAAACATCCAGAGAGAGTGGACGTAAAGAACACATACATGGGAATAATTCTATACATCAGTTTTATTTTTTCTCAACATTGTTGCTGCATTCAAAAATTTGACCAAATTTACGAGATCTTTAATATTATTAGAAATTAACAGCTGAATCAATTTAAAGACACTAGGCCTAGTATAATAATACTTTTTCAAAAATTTCTTTCTTATATCAATATTCAATAGACATTTCAATATATAATGAAATTCATCTTCTATATCATGGAGATTACAACATGTACATAATTATAATCTATTATTCTTAGGTACGTTATGGGGTCGACCTGTTTCAATATTCAACGTGTGATTAGATAACCTGAATTTTGTTAATAGCTGTCTTAATTTTTTGTCAATAGGTTTTGTTAAATACCATTGCAAACTGAAATTGTCAATTAAATGTTGATATAAATTACACTTTGAAGAGTTTGATATATTTTCTAATACAGCTTGCCTAGAAACATCTAACAGTCGTTGTTTTATAATTAGATAAGATCTATCATTTAAATTATATTCTGTCCAAAGTTGACCTAGACCTAAAAGGGACAATTCTTTTTTAATTTGTAAAATCCATTTGTCATTATGTAATACCATGCTTTCATAACAGGACTTAAGAATGCAATTTTCAGTTGTTCTCAATTTGATCCAATATTTAAATATTCTTAATTTTATTGTAACTGCTAGTGAAAAACGCCCGAGCTCTGAATAAATCAAACTGTTTGAGGTTTTCTTCACCACACCTAGAGTATTTTTACAGAAATTTAAATGTACCTTTTCTACGTCAGAACATCTATGAAAACCCCATTTCTCAGTTCCATAAAGTAATACGCTACATACATATGTATCAAAAATCGAACATAGAGTTTCTACATTAAATTAATACCTTTTTAATTTACTTGAAATAGCAAACATGGCTTTTCTTCCCCGTTCAGCAGCATGATTCTGTGTTTTTAAAATTTCCCATTAAAGTTAAATAAAATACCTAGATATTTAAATTCATTCACAATTTCTAATTCAGCATTATTATAGAACCAGGATTCGTTATTGCGTAATTTACCACCGTTTCTAAAGACAACAATCTTTGTTTTTGTTACATTAACAGAAAGGCTCCATTTTTCAGTATAATTGTTCAATGTGTTTAACATTTTTTGTACGCCTTCTGGAGATTCAGCAAAAATAACCATGTCGTCTGCATACATAAGTATGAATAAATTTAACATCTGTAAATCAATATATGGACAGTTATCTGATATAAAACTAACTTCGAAATCATTTACATTTAGTGAAAATAATATTGGTGATAATGTTTCCCCTTGCATTAAACCTACATCATTGTGGAAGTAATTACCGAGAAAGCCATTGTATTTAACACAACTTTTAACATTATTGTATAGGGATTTGATTATCTTTAACATTTTACCTTGGATGCCTAAATGTAATAATTTTTGCCATAATTTTATCCTATCAACAGAATCAAATGCTTTTTGAAAGTCAACAAAACAGCAATATAATCTTTTCTTAGTAGAAAGGTACTTATTTATAAGCGATTGCAGAACAAAATTAGCATCAGTCGTTGACATTCCTTTACGAAACCCAAATTGTGCATCCGTCAATATATCATAGGAGTGCTCCAATTCCAGTATCCTATTGTTTACAACACTTGTAAATAATTTACCAAAACAGCTTACAATAGATATACCACGATAATTGTTCACATTATTCTTATCTTCTTTTTTGAACAATGGAGTAATGAAACATTTTGACCATGATTCAGGGTAACAACCAGAGTTAAAAATATTATTAAAGAGTTTATGTAACGGCGGGAGCAATTCGTCGCGGCATTTCATAAACAGTTCGTTAACAATACAATCTTCTCCACAACTTTTATTTGTTTTTAACTTTTTAATTGCTGTGCATATTTCTTCGAAACTGATCTCTGTAACCAACTCGTCGTATACACATCCGAATAAAATTCTTTTTTCAAGTTGTCGCCCGTGTTAGAACCGAGATTTTTAAAATTAGTGTAGAAATCTTCTAAATTTAAAATTTAAATCAACATGGTTTGTCTTTTTTGTTTTAAAAATTTTAAAGAATTGTTTTGGGTTCTGTTTCTTCAAAAAAGTAAGTATGTCGCCCGCATGGCGTTTGTACTGTCGTTTAAGTTTATTTTCAAATTTTTTGTAAGTTTGTTTTGCGTTTGAATGAACCTCTCTATTTTCTGATGTTTTATTTGCATTGAACACATTTAGTTTTTGTTTGTACTCATTATAAAGATGTTTACACTTATCGTTAAACCATGGTTTATCCTCATATTCTTTAGATAATTTTTTGTACTAATGCCTTGCTGAGGGTTAGATTCACGAATATCACAGAAAGGGAGTACGCAAGTATTTAATAATTCACAGAAGCTATCAACACAAGAGTTAACATTCTCGATAGAAGTAAAATCTACATCTACAATACTTTGAAGCTCGTGTATTTTAATGTTCAAGCAATCTTTAACAAGGCAAGAATTTTCGTCCTTCCACTTAACTGACCTCGCAGTCACTCTACCGTGACAATTGTTTACAATGTGTTCGTTATTCTGAATGGTTGAATATCTCAATGAAACACTAAAAGAAACCGGTGAATGGTCAGAAAAACTGTACAATTACCTGATTTGAACTTACTTATACTGGATAATTGAGTACTTTCAACCAATACGTAATCGATCAAACTAAAACCTCTTTTACTTTAAAAAGTCAAATTACCTACGTCATCACCATGAATAATACACAGCATATTTTTCCATTTCACCTGTTATAAATTTTGTATCACTTTAAAGGGGGTCATTTTTCAATGGGGGTCAATATTTTATAGGACTAACATATAAAATAATGACACCTAGGACTCTTTTTCTATAAAAAATGATTTTTTTCTACGGGTAGGGGGTCATTTTTGTCGTTGAAAAATGACCCCCGGTCATTATTCGATTGGGGTCATTATTCGTCTTTACACCGGAAAACGTGCGCGCACATTTAATTTAACAAAAAGAAAATGCTCAAATCAAACTTTTCGCTTCTTTTGTTATGACTGCTTTTACCTTGATTTGACTTCGACTGAACTGTTGACTATTACAATTCATCACGTGATGTCCACCTGTGAGTGTACATGTCTTGTACTCGTGAAAATAAATACATTGAATTCTTTAACCTCACCTCAATGAAAATAACTATGTTATGTGAATTTTTGAATAACAGTTAAATAAAAAGATCCTGGTGGAATATCTTGCTAAACAATTGGTTGAACCAGTCTTATCAATTTTTGAGAGAAACTTATCATAAAAGGTTATATTTTTTACGAAATTTTAACTAAACTGACTCTTCTCATTAAATTTTTATTAAAAATCGTCAAATTTTAAAGCTGATTAACTAATATAAACTTTCCTTATTTGTCAATGTACTATTTGGAAATCAATCATTGGCAATCAGTGTACTTTCGGTGTATAATTGTTCAAAACATGCAATTGTCACTTCTGTAAACAATGTCATGTGCCCCAGAAATCTTCCGAGATTGAGCTTTCTCGCCTCCCCCGCAAAAGAGCGGTAGTAAGCTAGATAATTAGGAGTTACTCGCGATATTACGTATTCTATACAGTATGTCGCCCGCGTGTCGCAGTGTTTAGAGCATCTGCTCTCGAGTCGCGAAGTAATGAGTCAATCCTTACGGGTTCGAATCCCACTGTGGGACGTGGAGACCGGTCCTTCGGATGAGACCGTATAAACCGAGGTCCCGTGTCGCAGTAGGTGCTGGCACGAAAAAGATCCCTCCCTACTCAATGGCCCTAACTGTTGAGTATAGGACAAAATTTGCAGTTCTCCACCGGCAAGTGGTGGCGTCTCCACATGAGTAAAAAATTCTCGAGAGGGACGTTAAACAATATACAATCAATCAATCAATCTATACAGTAAAAACGTACAAATATTTTCTTCCAAATATGATCTCCTAAATGCTAATTGCGACGTCAAGAACGTGTGTATTTACCTGTATTTCCTTTTCAAGTTGCAGAGGACATAAATATTTACTTGAAATTTCTTTCAGAGATCATACTGTGTCGGGATGGCCCACAAAGATTTTTGAAAAAAATATGTGATTTTTCAAAGAATTTTACACATTATACCAAAAACTTGAAGTCGACAACGAATGCAGTCAATATTTTTAAAAGAAAAATAATCACAGGTATGCATCATTTTAAGGCTATTCATAATTAAACTTAGAAATGCTCCAAATTTTATGTAATGGAGTCATATTTCAAGAATGGGTCTTCTTTGTTCCATATAATTGAATAATTTATTTTATCCATCTACTCAACTCATGCTAAAACCGATTTTATGAATTTCTAAGAACATCAAATTTAAGGGCATAATATAGCCCAATTCGTTCCATCTTCTTAAAAAAAACACTCAAAAAGTAATCTGGAAAATTGTCGAAAATTCAAAATGTCATCGATGAGATCAGAAAGATTGTCAAAAGTGAGCGATGAATTCCTTTTATAAATAAATAAGCTGTTGTATAAAATCTCCTTGTACATGTATCAGTGTATAAATGGATTTAGAGGATATATATTATATGTATGGGTCTGGAAAGCTATTATATCTTGTAGAATGTATTAAAAGGGTAGTGCAGTAACATGAATACATATAATATCGAATTGTGCTTAATTATGCTACACAGAAAATAGAAATGAAGTAAGTCAACTGGTACACGTATATCAAAGACGTTGAGTAAAACGTAGACGTGTAGTGTAATTTGGAAACCTTAATGAGGTATGATTTTAACGATGACGTTGTGATGTTGACAGTGTTTTATGATAATACATGTAAAACTGGTTAATGTTTAATAAACATAGCCTTCGATCAAATGCAAAAACTCGTTTTTTGTATATGATATTGCACTCTTCTTGAGAATATAAAATTAATTTGATAATTGCTTGCTGTTTTATTTTCCATTGGACAATTTTCACTCACGTAGAGACATCACTATATACCTTTTTTTCTCGTCATTTTCCCACCATGACAAGAGTTTGACCGGTCGGCAGGGGATGCTCACTCCTCCATGGCACCTGATCCCACCTCTGATGTTTCAGAGGGCTGTGTTTGCTCTGCTCCATTTTTTATGGACTTTTGATCTTTTGAATACGTTTCGTTATCTCCATATTTTTCATTATACACACCTTGACCGTTGTACTCTTGACTGAACTTTTGTAAACAGTTTGTGGCTTTATAAGACGTTTTTCGTCAGCTATGGCTGTTGCTGCAGCATTACAAAAGGATGTTTTTCCTGCTGATACTTGTCCTATTAATAGACAATTGATGGTTTTAACGTCTTGAGGTAGTGAACTCGTTGCTGTGCCTATTTCTTCCAAGAGTTTCTTCTTTTCCTGTAAGAAACAACACTATGTAAGTGCTTGAAGTGATTCCTGGTGAAAACAGTTTTCCTCATCAAGGCATTTAACATGGTATGATATATTTACTACAAAATTCAAATAAGTTCATTTTCGTGGGTAAAAAAAAATATTTCGCGTTATAGCCCGAAACTTTCCTGAATAAACGCGTACCTCTTGCATGATGACTCAAAACTTTCGCGAATAAACGCGCAATGTTCGATATTATACGCGTATCTTTAGCGAATTTGCGCGAAACATTTGCTGTTTTACCAAAAAATATGCATAAGTTTTATATTTCTTTTGATTTATGATTTAGTTTATTCAATGAATAGCAAAAGACTTTTTTAGTGTTGGATCATCCCAAGCTACAATTTTAACTTTTCTAGGTATTGAATGTGTTTTTTCTATGTCTTCTTTTTTCAGTCAAAATTTGTTTTTCTCAGTGCTGGTCAAAAATTCAAAGTCTATGCGAGTTTTCCAAAAGTTAAACTTCATGATTCTGAATTTCGGGGTAAAAATCGCCCTTTTCCGGGGTAATTTTTCAATTTCAAGTTTTCCTCGATAAATTTATAATTTACAAAACCCAATTAGAATTGTTATTTAAACAGCATAATATGGCCCTTTAAGCTCATGAAATACTACACTGTTCCCTCAATTCTAAACCATATTTCTACAGGGTTTAATACCGTATAAGTGGAAGTTTTAACGAAACGCACTTTCAGCAATCTGTCTTAAAAATGTTTTTTTTTATTTTTAGCGATAAAAAATCTATATGTATAAGTTTATATGATAGAAAATCCCTTGGAAATTCAGAATCAAGCCAATTCGGGGAGAACCAGTAGAACAAACAAATGTTAGAATTGAGACAGCTAAGAACCGTGTGATAGGGGAATCACAACTACTCAGAATGAGGGCAGAAAACAACCATAAAAAAGTTATGTCCATTGACCTAGAAATGGAACGCATACTGAAAACTAAAGCATACGGCAGAATATTAGAAATACTTCAAGATATGTGGAAATCTGAATGCCTAAAGGAGGAACAAATCTCATACAACAGATGGAGATATACAGAAACATGGCTTTTGTATTATGAAAAGAATTACGGTAAGGAACTTACTAAACCCATAAACACAAGACTACAGCAATTATCCAATAGACAAGTTTCTAGGAAAAGTTACGCGTCCGCCGTTAGAAACAACTCAACAAATAATTCTACAGAAACTGTGGATCTTCCTATGGAAAATGCAACAAAAGCAATGAATACATTTTCGGGGAAACGAAAATATAAAATGATGAATCAACACGAGAACTCTAAACTCTTGAGTTACAGTTCTCGTTCAGCCATTTCACAAAACTGACTATTTCCTAAGCAGCACAGAGACATACAGAATCGGGACAATAACGGTAAGCATAAAAATCACAGAGGAAATGGTACAAATAAACACCCACCAAACTTTTACAGAAACGAAAAAACAACATACATCGGAGGAGGGGTACTCAAGTATTTTTTAGGAGGAGGCAAAATGAACCAAGGCCAAAGATATAAAAATCAAATGCCACAATTATAAGCAACAGCAATGCCGGGGACACGTCCAAGAATGTAATTAAGATGGAACCAAAAATATTTAATCTTTCCCATAGACAACTAAATGATTTCGAAATCAAGTTACTGTCTAAGGGTCTAAAATACACACCTACGCCTCAAGTAAATAATCAAGAGCTTAAAACGGATATAAAAGCTTATACTCGGCGACTCAGGCTACGTGAATATTTTCATGAAAGTGATACCAGTGAATCTGATTCCGAGTCTACAGAGCAGAAGAAACAGACCTTGTAAGAAACAAATCCAAGTTTAATCCAAAACGAGGAAAAATAAAACTTTGGATGCTGTTTGCGACACATTAGAAAATATTCATTTCCCAAATAAACCCAGGACTATTAAACCAAATCTTTCTAAGGAAGAAGAAAAAGCTCTCAAAAACTTCAGCGATGACCCTACCATCATAACCAAAAAGGCCGATAAAGGAGGCGGAGTCGTCCTAATGAATACGGATTTTTACAAAAGTAAAATTTTACAAATGTTGCAAGACAATAATTTTTATGAAAAATTGCGCAACTGTCATGAGAAGAAAACAATAACAAAAATAAAAAACTTAGTATATGGACCACTATCGGAGGGTTTAACAGATAAGGAAAAGAACTACCTGAAAACTTTGAATTCCGAGAGAGTCAATTCTATGGTTTATCTAAAGTGCACAAGTCTAAAATTATTAAGGATGCCATAAAAGAGCAAAATAGTATATGTATAACATGTGCTGATCCCGCTGATTTAAGCTTCAGACCAATTGTCATTTATTGGATAAGATATACTTTTAAAACCATATTGTCAAAAAGTACCCAGCTTTGTGAGAGACGATCTGGATTTTATAAATCATTTACCTACTCATGTCACCTCTAACACCAAACTTGTCACACTGGATGTTGTAATTTTATATACAAATATTCCTACAGAATTGGGATTGCTAGTTGTCAAATTCTGGACTGAAAATTATTCCGATGTTCTAAACAACAGATTTCAACGGGTCTTCATCCTAGAGGCTTTAAAATTAGTTCTAGGTAACAATACGTTTGAGTTTTCAGACCATCATTACCTCCAAATAAAGGGAACAGCAATGGGGACAAAAGTCGCACCTACCTATGCAACATTAACCCTTGGTTATCTAGAAAATAAATTACATGATCAACTGTGTACGTTGTGGGGGATAGAATCTGCAAACAAAATACGGTCTAAATGGAAAAGATTTCTAGACGATTGTTTTATCTTATGGGAGGAGGATGTCGATAAACTAACAAAGTTTTATGATCTACTTAACCAAGTGAATTCGGATATCAAATTCACGATGGAAACAGATGATTTACAAATGCCATTCCTCGATGTTCTTTTAACAAAGGATAATACCAGCTTAAATACGGATATTTACTATAAACCAACCGACACACTCCAATATCTGCATTTTGGATCGAGCCATCCCCATCACACTAAAACAGTCATACCATATAACCTCGCAAGAAGGATATGCACCATTGTGAGTAATACCAATATCAGGGATATTCGACTGGAGGAATGAAAAGTGTATTTATTAAACCAAAAATATCCCGAACAACTTGTAGATAATGGTATAAAGAAAGCCAAGGAGTGCGATAGAAGTCAGTTACTTTTAAACATACGACGTGCGAATGAAGTTGAAATAATTCCATTTGTGCACACGCATAACCCGAGAAATCAAAACGTGAGTTCAATTATTTATGAATTGAACAACGTACTTAGAGAGGACGAACAAACGAAAAAAGTATACAAGAATTGTCGTTTTATCAACAGTAAACGCCAACCCAAAAACCTAAAGAGAATACTTTGTTCTTCCAAATTCAACAACCATACTTATACAGTCTCTAAGTGTAAGAACCCTCGATGCGGTACATGTGAATACATTACAGAAGGGACCAACTGTAATTTCAATGGGCGTGAATTAAAGAAAGTTAAAGAAAACATGTCATATATGCAAAAAATGTCATTTATATCATCACATGTCCTGGATGCAAGGAATATTATATTGGTGAAACCGGCAACACTCTCCGTGCCCGTGTACGTGTACATAAGCAACACATCAGTACACCCGAATACAGACAAATTCAATTAAGTTCGCACCTGAAGGCGTGTGGTAAAAACAATTCAAAATTTTCCCCTTCTATAAACTCAGTTTTGCCACTGATATCCAGAGACGGGAAAAAGAAAAACATTTTATTAGTATTTTTCAGCCAAAACTTAATAGTGTTTTATAAATTACTTGTGATTTTCCCGTACTTTTGTCATATTGTATCTATGAAGTCATAATAGACATTTAACGTTCCACTTAACATGACAACATAATCACTGTTACTATGATACTATTGTAAGCTTCTGAAGATGGAAAATGAAAGCGCTAAAGCTTAACTGAGGATTCTTGTGTTTTCTTTTACTTTTTTTTTAATATTGTTATCCGATTACTGAGACATTATTTAAATTTTGGATATATATATATATATATATATATATATATATATATATATATATATATATATATATATATATATATATATATATATATATATATATATATATATATATATATATATATATATATACATTCAATTATAAGAGTTCCCGTCTGCGTTCATGTCAGCCTTATCTGGCGTTCATTTTGGAAAATTAGGCGTAACAACCTAAAATTTACGCCTTTATTCAAGAAAATTTCGCATTTATTTGCGAAAGTTACGCTTTTATTCGCGAAAAAAAATAATTCATATTCCCATTAAACTCCTCTAGAAAAATTCCATATCTTTAATAATGAGTGTGCTAGCTGACATAATTATATAAATCTTTTTTTAAAGATTTGTACAAAAAGATTTGTACAGTTGTAAATCAACGTCGATACAAACTTTCACTACACTTAGTTTATCAGCTTTAAACTATACATACAGATACATCATTCAGCTAGAAGAGTGAATACTAGACGTTTGGAGATTTTTATTAAGAGAATAAAGACATCTGAAACGCCGTCGAAGCTACTGCCGCCTTTATCTTGAAATTTCTATTCTCAGTTTCAAGTCAGAGTTTTTCAAAATTAAAATATGGAAATAACAAAAAATTTCAAACATCTATGCTTACATACAGACCAGTAAAAGAGCAAACGCGGTCCTCAAAAAGTATGAGAATTCATACGTTATCGATTAAGCTAATTGAAACAAGGTAAAAACATTTACGAGTACTTAAATCTTTTTCAGCAAATATTAATTAAATCAAAAAAAAAAAAAAAAAAAAAAATGCACCTAAATCCAAACATGTCTTGAATTACTGAAACTGTTTAATGTGACGTAATTTTTTTTAAATGGATTTAATGCATGTAGTGCGATAGTAAAGTAATTATATAGATGTCTGTCTTTCTGTTAGAAAATAGTTTTCCTGGTATTGAATCAATATATAGAACGAACAAACAATCATTTTAGCAAACATCCCTTCAATCTCATTTGCAGGTCGACTAAAGAAACCTCTAAAGACTGCACACTATTCATAGGGTAGTTTTGTGCAGTTAAGGAGAACTGTCCTTAGCAGTAAGACAGAAAAAAGGTTATTAACAGTTA